CTCTCCGAGCAAACGTGGCCGGGTACAGCATTGTCGTGGAGTGTAAGAAAGGAGGAGAGATTGTCTCTCCGAGCACACGTGGCCGCGTAAACACGACTGTCCGAGTGACGCAGTTCGACGAAGTAGCCGAGTGTAAGAACGGAGGGAGAGATTGTCTCTCCGAGCACACGCGGCCGCGTAAACACGACTGTCCGAGTGAAGCAGTTCGACGACGTAGCCGAGTGTAAGCACGATTCGACGAAGTAGCCGAGTGTACGAAGGAGGAGAGATTGTCTCTCCGAGCAAACGCGACCGAGTAAGACGGCTTCGACGACGTGGCCGCGTGTAAGAAAGGAGGACAGATTGTCTATCCGAGCAAACGCGGCCGATTGTAACAACGATTCGACGAAGCAACCGAGTGTAAGACCGATTCGACGACGAAGTGGCCGCGTGTAAGAAATATTCGAAGCAGTAGCCGAGTGTAACCAGGATTCGACGCAGGATTGTCCGAGTGTAAGAAAGGACGGAGAGATTGTCTCTCCGAGTAAACGCGGTTCGACGAAGTAGCCGCGTGTAAGAAAAAGTAGATTGTCTCTCCCAGCACACACGCCCGAGTAAGACGCATTCGACGAAGTAGCCGAGTAAGCATTGTGCCGAGGGTAAGAAAGGAGGGAGACATTGTCTCTCCGAGCAGACGCGTCGAGCAACGCGGCCGCGTGCACCACGCAGGACCATTGTCTCCGAGCAAAAGCGTCGACCAGAGCGGCCGCGTAAAGCAGATTGTCCGAGCACACGCGTCGACCAACACGGCCGAGTGTAAGAAGGTACACATTGTCTGTCCGAGCAAACGCGTCGAGCAACGCGGCTCGAGTGTAAGAAGCATTCGACGAAGTAGCCGCGTACCAGCAGCAGCAGGATTGTCTCTCCGAGCAACTCGTCGACGACGGCAGAAGAAATTGATGTTGTTGTTATTACTGCGGTTTTGTTGTGTACGCACACAGAGAGACAACGTGTGTGACGGCGTTTAGTGGAGACCGGTGTAGAAAGGGCGGCAGAGGGGGTGTATATTCATGACGCGTTGCGTGTAGTGTTTTTGCTATTTTTTTTATCTTTCCGGTCTACTGTTTTTTTTTTTTTTTTTTTCTTTTTTTCGTTTTTTCATAAGTGCGTTATGGGAATTGAAGTAAATGGCACAGTTATTTGCAGTATAGAGTGTTAGGAAGAAGTACATGCAGAATATTGTATAGTAGCAGATTATTCTGATTCATATACTCAGGTTACTTTACGCATTGGGATTATAACCTGATGGCACAGTTATTTTGTAAATAGTCTTCGTCTTTCCTTTTGTACATATTTCTGTCTCTTTTTTTACATTGTTTCTCGTTCCTCCCTTTTTCTACTCTTCATTCTATTCTTCTTATGCGTGCCCTTCAGTCTTTTTAGTCTGTTCCTCTGTTTCAGTTGTATGGCACGCCTATGTAGAAGTTGAATGAATTAAAAATTTGTAGTGTGTACATGTTAGCTAGCATAAATGAGAAAGGGGAAACCTATGATTCATGCACACCAGGCAGTATCATAGTCAACGGTATAGCACGTGCGGGAATAACAAATTCATTAGATACTGTAATGATATGCGAAGCGTATGAATAGTGATCTAGTTATGTAGTAGTATCATGGCAGCGCAATTCGTAGAATTACTGGCACAGTGGCTAATACGCAGGCAAGGACAGGGAATTGACGGTTTTTACGAGGTAGGTTCTGGTACGCAAATCATGAACAAGATCACAGCGTACGGAGCGCATAGGTGAGTACACTGATGTGCTCACCAGGAAAGTGTGTTACCAAAATATACATGACTATGCCGGATATTGCATTGGCATAGTGTGTACAAGATGACTGCTTGGTCAGTAAGTATTGAACTATGCGTATTCAAATAAGTCATGTACTAGCAGCATTATGCCGTTGAAACATTCGGGGTCACTACTTTACCCTTTACAGAAAGTAATATGGGAAGATATGAAGACGATGGTGGAACAGTTTCTTACCTATATGGAAAACGATCATGACACACTGGTGACATCGTGTGATGATAAAGGATGGGGGCCGACAGGAATCACAAATTGGCATAATGAGGACGACACAGTCGTATGCAAAATGATGGTGCCGGCATTATTTTTCATGAATGGATGGGGGCTGGGTCCACATGGGGAATACGATGCTGCGGCTGCAGGTGATAGATTACAGACATATATACGGTGCATAATTGCGAATGTAATTATGTTCCAGTTGATAAGAGCAAACTGTGGCAGAAATCAAGGTATACGACAGGCATTGCACATATTAGACCAGTTTATGGCCACTGTGACTCATGCTGTTAATCTTAACATGTGTACCTGGGTGCTTAATAATGACCTGAAAGTAGGAGGAAAAGTAATAGGCGCACAATTTGATGACTGGATAATGAGGGATGCAACAATGAAGGCCAAGATGACACAGTTACAGGAACGTGTAAAATGCACACGAAGGGGGACACAGACATCTGAAACCCGGAAGCGACGTATGGAATTATTGAAAGAAGGAAAAGTGCGGGATGCAATGGAGAGAGGAATGAAGGGTATATTAAAGAAAGTAGGGAAGATAGTAGGGGGCGAATGGGGGGCGGGGGCTGCCGCCGCAGACGATGACGAAGATGAGGAAGATGAGGAGGACGATGACGACGAGGATGCGGAAGCACAAGAGGAGGACGCGAATGGTAAGAAGAGTAAAGGAACAGAGTGCTACTCATACGGGCAATAAGAATACGCACAATACGCAAACGGCCGCATACTAACAAGGCCGGCACGGACAGGACCGCCACCGATACGAGTGCGCATACGGATGCCGCCGCCACAACAAAACACGCACGCGCGGCGAGAACAGCTACGCACAGCGGTGTGCAATAGCACAGCAACACTTCGCTGACGTTGAGCGGCGCGGGCACGACGGCAGCGGAGACGAGATGACGGCGACGACAAATACAAGTTGTACTGCTACCATCTACCCCCAGTTCACCGAGTACGCAGTCCACCTCACCGTACGCTTGCTGGCGCGTCACCCAGTTCACGGAGTACGGAGTCCACCGAGTTCACCTCACCGTGCGCTTGCTGTCGCCTGACCCAGTTCACCGAGTGCACCTCGACCCACTGCATCGACCCATGCAGCCGGACCCTACCCGGCCGCTACCGGACCGCACCGTCCCGGCCCGTTCTTTCTGTACCACTTGTGTCCGTTTTTTTAATCATCTACCCGTTTTCCGTCCTTACGGCAGGTTCAACGGCCGCTAAGCCTGTGGCACCACCGGCTGCACCCGCATCAGCCGCAGCGGCCGCAGCAGGATCAGGAGCAGTCGGACAAGGACCGGGTCAAGGACCGGGACCTGGACAACCCCCCCCACCTCCACCGCCAACTGCAGAAACGGCTGGAGCAAAGGCAGGAGGAAAGGGTGAAGCAGGACCACCCGCACCTAACGAAGCAGCAGAATTAGGTACAGGAGGACCAGAGCAGAGTCCGAACAAGGAAGAAACCAACGTTACACCCAAGGATGACAAAGGTGAGGAGAAGTGTCCTTATGAGAAGAACAACGCAGTATCTGTTCTTTCAGATCCTAGGGGAGGGTCCCGTGCTATTGTATCAGCAGGTACTCACTCTTATCAAGGACAGCCTGACTGTACAACATGGACGTTGCTTAAGGAACAGGAGACAGCGACATCTTCAACAGGTACCTGACATAGTCCCATGAGGAGTGCCGGGAACAGCTCCTACTGCGGTGTTAACAACGTGCTGGATGCCTTATGCTAGTAACGGCGGTGGGTTATCTACGGGCACAGGAAGAACAAAAGAAAAAAAAAGAAAAAAAAGAAAACAAAACATATATATTCGGCGAGAAAACAGGGGAAAGGCAGAGCCCCGGGGCGACCGTGATCGGCAGCTGGCTGTAGAGCAACGTAGAGACGTAGCCACGTAGACGTCGACAGATGTCGACAGACGTAGACAACCGCACACACACTGTGTCTGTGTGTGTTGTGTTGCGTGTTGTGTGTCGGCGAGAGAGAGAGTCTTTTCCCCGGGGTGGCACCGTAACCACCCTACCCCGTGTCATGCCCCGTCTCCCCGACGCCTGCCGCTGTCCCCATGGCACCATCGTGCCGACCGATCGTGGTCAATCGCCCCCTGAAACTTTTGTTTCATTACATTTTTCTTCTTCTCATCCGAACTCATAGGTAATGGTCCTTCGGAGGAAACGAAAAACAACGATTCAAAAGAAACAGTTCCAGAAAAGGCACCAGCATCTGGGACACCAGCATCCTCGGCACCAACACCAACAGCTCCCTCAGGTGAATCCGGTGCGACGGGTACAACAGGTTCTTCAGGTTCACCAGCGCAGCAAGGTGACGGGGGTACTATCGATCCCGCAGGTAAACCTGGTGAACCCGGCAGCAGCGGCACGGATGCCGTCATCGATGGCGGCAATGATGACCCCCCTCCTCCCAATCCACCCAAACCAAAACCGAACCCGAACCCCGATCAGGCGGGGTCGAGCGGCGACCACGGTAGCGCAAGTACTCAAGCGGAAGGTACTGAACCGGGTGCAGCAGGTGGCGAAGGTGGGGGTGGTGGTTCTTCCAGTTCATCATCCAGTTCAAGCTCAAGTTCCAGTTCTGCTACTGGTGCGGCAGACGGTAAGCAAGCGGATACTGGCTCCCAGAAATCTCAGTCAACACCATCACCCTCTCCTTCAAACAACTTTGGCTTGAACTTAGACTTTGGGAAATATACAGTAGGTGTAGCTGGATCCTACGGACCCTATGGGATACCTGAATCACCAGTAGGAGCTGCTAACAGGAAGATCGATGATAGCATCTCCCCCATTTTTACTGCAACGGATATTTTCCTGTCTACCCCGGTTCTTATGTTCTTTGCATGCGTCAGTTCCCTTATCCTGCTCTTTTTCCTTGGCAACGTAAGCACACAACCACAGATACGACGCGACACCGTGTATGCTTATCCGTCATATGTACCACATGAATGTGTTCCCAACGGGATGTTTTGTACGATCATTCTAACACCACTGCACTCTTCTACATCGTCCTCGTTCTTGTTTTTTTAGTACTTTGCGCACCTCGCCAAACGACGACGCACGTTTCGCACCGTTCGTAACGTGCCGTCACCGCCACTCCACGAAGAAATTCTACAGCATCTACAACGCGGCGAACTACCGCCACCCGATTACGGGCACACGATTGTTAGGGATAGGCAACCTGCGTCAACATGCGCCCGACGACGACGCCCACCACGCGTGCATAAACGCACGATCATCGAGCTACATCTAGAAGTGCTCAACGAATGTGAAGCAACCGAGTGGGAAAACGTCCAAGACGCCTATTTGCACATACTTGTGGCGGAGTTTGCGCAGGAGTTGATGCGGGACGTGGAGCAGGACGAGGACACGAATAACAATATCTTGGGTGTTTCTACGTCAGACCAGGGTTTACCAGGGAGTAATGCTTCGTCCACTGACTCCGACGGAACGGACCCTTGTCCACCACATGACCCCGATCCATGGAGTTGTATGGAAACTACACAGTTAGAAACGGACCGTTCTCCACCTAACGAAGAGGACCGATGGAATTGTATGGAAACCATACAGTTAGATACAGAACCCGACCCGCACTCCTCCCCGCGGCATGAATGCCCGATCCGCGACCACACTTATTGGATTACCTGGATTGACCGCAACAAGCATCTATTGCAGGCGTGCACGACGCAGCCGTGGTTTCTGCAATTGAAATCGGATTGGAAACAATACCTGCGCGAGCACATGGCGGCACCCGGCGCATCCGGTGAGCACAGGGCAGCCGCAACCATGGAAAGCAAGAAGCACGCATGGAAAGAATGGGTAGCGCGACAACATGACCTTATGAATACATATAGTCAGGAGCCCTGGTTTCAACATTTGTTGAATACTGTTGAGCAGGAGACAGAATCGCAAAAAGGCGAAATACCTGGCGTGGACAAAGACTTAGAAGTGGAAAACGTAAATCCAGCAGCACATGTGCTAAGCGTGACAGATGTACCATGCACGCAGCCAATGCATCCGCAACCTTACATGAAACAACCGTTAACCGCTAAAACATGGATACTGATCCTGGCATTAGTCATAGAACAGTGCGAAGTCGAACGCAGTTTGCAGGAGAAGGAGTTGTATGTGGATGAACTATTGGAAAAGCTCTGAACTGCGGATGCCGGGGCATATGAATGGGAATAATGCAATAACGCATGCTAACATTAGACCACTTTTACTTCATTATGTGATATACATAATATATGTCTTGTTTACATTATTCCATACCTTCCTTTTTTTTTTTTCTTTTGTTCCTTCTGTTTCTTTGTGCTTACTTTTGCCTTGTTTTGTTCTTGTTATCTAGTCCACTTCTTTTAACATGACCATAGGAACAGGGTGGTACAGGTCACATGCATATAAAATGTAGATTTACATGAATAATATGAAGGGGTACAATTCTCCTTTATGTGAAGTTAATTATTAAAAGCTGAGCACGTGCATGCTACGGGTATAGTGCAGCACAAATATAGAATGCGCATACGCCTTCGAGTATACGGAGCGCTTGTCTCTCCGAGCAAACGCGGCCGCGTAAACCGCATTGTAGCCGAGTGTACGAAAGGAGGAGGATGATCTCTCCGAGCACACGCGTCGACCAAAGCGGCCGCGTGCACGAAGGAGGCCCATTGTCTCCGAGCACAACGCGGCCAAGTGCAAGACGGATTCGACGAAGTAGCCGCGTGTAAGAAGGAGGGAGAGATTGTCTCTCCGCGCAAACGTGGCCGCGTAAAGCACATTGTGTCCGAGTGTAAGAAGGTACACATTGTTTCTCCGAGCAAACGCGGCTGAGTATAAGACGGATTCGACGCAGTAGCCGCGTGTAAGAACGGGTTCTGCGAGGTAGCCGAGTGTAAGAAGGTACACATTGTCGCTCCGTGCAAACGCGTCGACCACAGCGGCCGAGTGCACGATTCGACGAAGTCGCCGCGTGCCGCAACCGTTGACGGGGACGGGGTTACCGGAGAAGCGTTGACGGGAGAGGCGACGACGGAGACAGCCTCACGGAGAGGCGTACACGGCGAGACGGCGTTGACGTAGACAGCATTGACGTAGACAGGATTGACGGAGAGACGTTGACGGAGCGGCGTTGACGGAGAAGGCGTTGAAGGATAGACGGCGTTGACGGAGAACGCGGTGACGGAAGAGGCGTTGACCGGAGAATCGTACAAGGAGACGGGGTGACGCGGACAGACTTTGACGGGAGCAGCGTTGACGGGAGCGGCGTTGACGGAGCGGCGTTGACAGAGAGGCGTTGACAGAGGCGGGGTGCCACGAGAGGCGTTGACGGAGAGACGGGGTTACGGACACGGGGTGACGGAGAGGCGTTGACGGCGACGGGGTGACGGGAGAGGCGTTGACGGAGAGGCGTTGACGGAGAGGCGGCGTTGACGGAGAAGGCGTTGACGGGAGAGGCCTTGACGGGAGAGGCGTTGACGGAGAACGGGGTGTCACAGACGGGGTGACAGGAGAGGCGTTGACGAAGACGGTGTGACGGACAGGCGTTGACGTCAGAGGTGTTCACGGAGACGGAAGCGACGGCAAAGTAGCTGCCACACCAGTGGCGGCGCAAATACCGGCAACAACGGGGGTAACGAAGACGCGGTCCGGGCGCATGGCATCACCTGGTGGTGGTGATCGCGGTGGTGGTCAGGCTGGTAAGGGCGGTGCTCCTGCCGGAGGGGGAACATCGACGAAGGCGACGACGGCCAAAGCGGACGATTGTCCATGGAAGAGCGCATTGCATAAGCCGCCTAGGGCCATATACGTGATGCATGGTTATGATGTAAGTTAGATTAAGTGGAGCGGACAGGGGATATAATGATAGGCAATAGAATACATGATTAAGGTATGTACACATATATATATATATACACATATATATATATATGAATATAGGTGCAACATAGTGAACGAGTTTATATAGAATATGCACACACACATCCCTTTTGTATGTTTATATTTTAAATCCAGAGGACAGAACGAAGTACAGTGGAATCAGCATTACAGAGTTTTGTGGAACATATGACACAGAGTGAAAAGATCATAGAAAGCATAGGAGCAAACTGTGAAAATGCTTATTGGAATGATTTGCTGAAAGGTGCATTCCATGAGGGACAGAGAGTGGCAGATATGATGAGGTGCAGACTCATGAATACTGCATTATATTTCGCGAACGGTTCAGTGAGGACAGAGGATGGTAGTGTTACAAACAATGGGGGCACGGATGAAGCAACCAATAAATTAAGATGTGAAATAGTGAATGTTTTTGGGAATATCCTGAAACACAGGTACTGTCCGCAGCAAAGACCATGGAAAAGAGGTATAGAGTATGCATGGGAAATAATGCGACAAATGGGGGACACCAAATGGGGAGGAATGGTACCCCCAGGTCCTGTTTTAGACCAAAGGTGCACAGAATGTGGCTACAAAAGTAAAGGGAGAAAATTAGGTATAGTAAATGGAGATATGGCCACATGGTTATTACTGCAATGGAGAGTCATGGACAAAATAACAAAAATGGAACGCACAATGGAGTGTACTGCAGATTGGAAGGAATATCAACTAGAGCAAGGGCAGCATGGCAACCTTACAGCTCAGGATGAGGACGGGAAGAAAAAACTGGAGGACGTAAAGGAGGAGGCAAAAAAGACAGCAGAAGAAATAGTTAAAAAGATGCAGGACGAAGTGAAGGAAGTATTAGATGACTTAGGAGATTGTACGGCATCGCGCGCTACAGACTGCGTGAAGCAGCTCTTCGAGAAAGAAATTCGAGAAAGGGCAGGTAACACTACTATTACGAACACGTGGCCTCATAGGCATATACAGCCTCACACGAATACGAATAGTACGGCCGCTACCAATACGGCCGAATACGTACCGTACGGTACCGATAAGCATGCCAACGGATGGCACGACTACGTGGCGCGCATGTAGACCGTACGAATAGTAGGGATGGATGCCACCATAACGACAACGCACACGCGGCGGGAACGCAACGCACACGTGGGGGACAAACACCCGCTCGTGGAGCCCAGATGTGCGGCGGAGACGGATGCAGCGCTAGCGGGAGGGGCGACCTGTGTGCACGGACGGAGCGCACGACGAGAGGACGAGATGAGCGGGGGCCACGACGGCAGCGACCACGAGGAATCGGTAGCGGTAGCGGCGACGACGCACCGCAGACGAGATGACGGACGAGATGACGGCAACAACATAAACGTGTACTGCTATCATACCACCTGACCGTACGCTTGCTGTCGCCTGACCCAGTTCACCGAGTGCCACCTCGATCCATGCATCGACCCATGCAGCGGACCTACCGTGTCGCTACCTGACCGCACCGTCCCGGCCCCTTCTTTCTGTACCACTTGTGTCCTTTTTGTATCATGTTTGTACCATTTTGTCGTGTTTCTTCCTTCTCCTGTTTTCAGCAGAGGAAGCCAAGAAGAAAAAACGGGACTCCGTGCGACCCCCCGCGGCTGCCGCGGCGACGCCGGCGGCGACAACGCCAGAAGCACCCAAACCGCCGGCAGGAGGAAGTACTGAGGAGACACAGAAGCCCGATAGGGACGTAGCCAGGACAGATAAAACCGCTGGAGCACAGGACGCGGGAGGAGCAGCATCAGGATCGGGGCAGCAACCGCAAGCGCCTGCATCTCCAGTATTACCAGCACGACCACCACCACCTCCACCACCCAAGGGGAAAGCTTCTGAGGGCACCCAGGGGCGGAACGATGCAGACAAAGCAGGTAAGTGCACAGAGAGTTCCACCAGTACGAATGCGAACGCATCCAGCGTTAGCGTAAGCCTCGGGTGTACCTCAGACAAGGAGTTAGGAGTTCCAGACCGTGTACCTCCACCTCCCCCTGATCCAGCGCCAGGTAACAATTCTTATGCACCATAGTACACATAAACACCCGCTGGACTATTAGAGGAAGCAAAAAAAAAAAAAAAACAAAATCGAACAACATTTCCGCAGACAGCGGGAGAGACAACACGGAGCGAGAGAAAACAAACGTGGAATGAGAATGAGACGGGGACAGTGAGCGGTGCGAGCGATGGGTCGGGCGCGGGGGAGCGTAAGCCGCCGCAGCAGGTACAGCGCCGGGTCGGCCGCGGGTTGTAGACGTCGACACACGCACACTGTGTCTGTGTGTGTGTTGTGGGTGGCAGAGAGAGAGAGTCTTTTCCCGGGGTGGCACCGTAACCACCGTTCGCACCGTGCCCCCATACCCCCGTGCGTCTCCTGCGGCCGGTTCCCCCACGGCGGTCAACCATCAGCCACCACACAACGCTTTAGTTTCATGATTCTTACTTTTCCCGTTGTTCGAATTTTCAGGTCAGCCCAGTGCACCCAAGACTGATGAGGATTCCTCGAACAGTACACCTTCAAAATCTGCCTCTGACCCCGTGGAACTCAGTTCACCGGAAAACCGGCAATCACCGAAGGTTCCCCCTGAGGCAGATCCCGTAAAAGATAGTTCTAATTTATGGGGAATAGGATGTGCAACCACAGGTGCCGGTGGACGCCGTGGTTCCTGCAGTCCGGAGGAACCCAGTTCAGGCCTACCTGCACGTTCCCCTGGCCCTCTTACTGAAATCATGGACAAAGCCAAGAAGAGTCAACTGAATGATTTTGATTTAGGTATAGAGCTGCCCCCGCACGCAGGTAGTGTTGGAGGAGGATGCGTACCACCAACCACAACACATGGATCATCGGCCTCATCGCCTACCGACCACCGTGACTACGCAGTGCCTGACCTCACCGACGCCGTCCTTACCGCCACTACTCCCATCCTGTTTTTTCTCACTTCCGTCATCGTCGCCCTCCTTGGTTATTCCCTTTGGAAGGTAAGCATGCACACAACGCCCATACGACGCGACACCGTGTATGAAAATCCGTCATATGTACCATAAGTGTGTGTTTCTACGGAGCGCCCTTAAATGATGATGCGCACAACTCCATGTTCTGCTCACCCTCCTCTTTACCCCCCTTTTTCTGCTTAGTACTTTGCCTACCTCGGACAAACACGACGACGAACATATCGAACCGTGCGTGACGTGCCGTCACCGCCACTCGACGAAGAAATATTGCAACATCTACAACGCGGCGAGCCACCACCCGATTACGGGTACACGATGATTCGGGATAGGCAACCTGCATCTGCTGCCGAACGCCGCGGACAACGCTCACCACGCGTGCATAAGCGCACCATCATCGACCTA